CACCCCACCCCCAATTAGCTGTCTTCTAAAAGTTAAACCCAGCACCAATTAACGGAGTGTTAAAGATAATTTTTGCTCTGGCCTTTATAGACCTACTTAGGAATTTTAGGTAAATCACTTTCTCCACTTTTTCATTTGTTCTCTAATAAGAAAATATAATTATCTTTGTTTGAATTTTACTTGGTGCGTCTATTTTATGCTTTGTCCTTCGTGATTCACACTTGTATATGTCTCATTTAGCAGGTAATACCTTGTAATTTATTACCGTAAATCATAAACATCAAATCTGTCTGATTTACAAAGGTCTGGCAGCATTGCTAGTTGAAAGCATTATATTCTACTGAATAATTTATTAAATCCATTTTGTAGGCCTGTTTTTCATAAAATTGTATGTACTTATTTAAGTTGAAATTCACGTTTTAAGCAAAATTAGTACTGTGCAAATGAGCACATGGGAAGTAACTGTCTAATTTTCACTTAAGAGGTCCCTTTTTTCAACTATCTTAAAAGCAATGCCTTTTAAACAATAGAGGGGATCAATTGTTTGTCAAGCATCTTAAATAGTGAGGGTTCTACTAAAACCCCCTCCCTCCCTGGGGGATGGACAGCAGAAAAGTGGGTGAAGGGAGATACCGGTCACTGTAAGACATGAAAATATAATAATAATTTATAAATTATCAAGGGGGAGGGAGGGAGGGGAAAAATGAGGAACTGATACCAAGGGCTCAAGTAGAAAAAAAATATTTCGAAAATCATGATGGTAACATAAGTACAGATGTGCTTGACACAATAGATGGATGTATGGATTGTGATGAGTTGTACAAGCCCCAATAAAGTGATTTTTGAAAGTAAATAAATAAATAATGAGGTTAAGTGAAAACATTTATGGAAAACCAATATTGAAGGTGTATTTTCTTAAGTTGTGATAAATCGAGGGTGGGACAGAGACACGCCCCCCCTTCCCCCAAGACACACACACACACACACACACACCACACACTACACACCCTAACTTGGCCGCTCTGCCATACTTGGATTTAAATTCTCTTTCTGTCACCCAAGCTCCCTCGACGTAATCCTCAACTGTAAAATAGATATAATAATGCCCACTGCCGAGGGCAAGGGTCCCTGGTGGCACAATGGTTAAAGCGCTTTGGCTAATAATTGAATTGTCAGTGATTCACACCCACCCACCACTCCCCGGGTCTGCTTCCATCAAAATGTCCCAGCCTTGGGAACCCTCTGGGGTCATTCTCCTGGGTCTTAGCAGGGTGTCAGGGGTACAAATCAACTGAACAGCATGGAATGTGTCAGGTTTATTACATAGGTTGTCATCAAGGCCAAATAAGAGAATGTGTATGAAGCTCCACAAATTATTTGGTACATAGTGAATGTGCTCAGTAATTGACAGCCATTATGATGATTATTAACAACAGAAAGATCAATACATGATCAAATACGAGATCTGAAAAGTAACAAATTATGCAGTTCAGTCACTAAGTCCTAATTAAGGAAAGACTCACACATGTTTCTGTCTTGAATCAGAAATGCACTATGATCCCATTTTTTAAAGGACAATATGTTAGGTGCTGAGCCACCATCCCAGAAGTTAGCTAGCGATTTGAGTCCACCCAGTGGCAGCTCGGAAGGAAGAACAGGTGGCCTGTGCCTGAAAGGTCCCAGCGAAGAAAGCATGTAGTTCTACACCGACTCAGTGGGATCTCCGGGAGTCAGCGGATTGAATGGCAACTTTGTGGATTTTAGGGCTGAGAGGTGGTCTTGGTTTGGGGCTTGGTATCTACCCATAAAAATGAGAGGTTGTTTCTCTAAGCACTTAAACTATTTAGTTAAAGATTTTAAATGCAGCCCATTTAAGTTTGCGATTGTGCGCCCTGGTTGACAAGGTCACTGGGATCGATGGGGTGGCCCTGTATGAACGCATTGAAGTCACCTGAGCCCTTGCAGTCTTCACCGCAGCATTTTCTATAGAGGATGCTTAGAAAACGTGCTTGAGGCCCGGGGTGGGGGTGGGGGGTGGGGAAGTGTGTGTGGGGGGAGTAGCACTGAGTAGGAAACCATTTTGCCCAACTGAAGCTCATATGCTTGTTTCCTTTTCCTGGCAAGCTGCCGTACCATTCTGTTGTGCTTCCTGCCTATTGCCAGAGGGGGTTTTGATGCCAGGGACCTCACAGCAGAAAGCTGGGGACTCCGATTTCTCATCCCCAACGATGTACTATTCCTGTGGGAATTTCTGCAGTCATTTTACTTTGTAAATGCAATTACTATCTTATCATCATGGCAGAGTTTTAGAGTAGGGAGAGCGAATTGTACGTGAAAGTTAAGATTCTAATGACTACTCGTGATTTTGGCTTAGTGGTCTGTAACCGATGTGCATGGTCCCATCTTTTGACTAACCTATATTTTATATTTTATTACAAAAGTATACACGGCAGTCATGTGGGTTAAGCGTTTGTCTGCAAGGTTGGCAGTTCACACCCACTGGGTGCCCTGGGGGTGGGGGTGAGGGCGGATTAGGCTGTCTGCTCATTTTGAGAGTCTTGGAAACCCAGAGGAACCATTCTGCTGTCTGGTAGTGCTTCTCTGAGTTGAAACAGACTCTCTGGCTGTGGGGTTGGTTTTGGTTTGGGATACATGCTTCTGTTAAAAAAAGACAGAACACTGTGAAGTAGAAATCCCTTCTGTCCCTTTCCATTGATTCCTTGGTCCCACACCTGTAATTTAAGTACTGTTAGCAGTTGTGTAGAATCATTGCTTAGAAATATGGTCACCTGTTTGTACAGGAATGAAATTGCTATGTACATACATACATTCCTTATTATCTTGAGTAGATTTTTTTATTTTTTACTAGTACTTATAGCGGTACTTCATTTAAAAAAAAAGACTTGTCTTATGGTCGAGCCATAATTGATTTCAATAATCCTGTACATATATATATTGTGCCATTGATGGGATTTCTGGCTCAAAGAGCATGTATATGTCTGCCGAAGCGAGCACATGGGCATGCATATTCTTATTTTGATAGGTATTGCTCCAATACCCATGAAGGACACACTTTAATTTTCGTCATAATCGATATGATTTAGCAGGGGACTGTTAAGAGCACTCCTCCGGGTAGGCCGGTGAGACTATTCCGCTGTACAACTTGAACATTCACATACAGTCTAATAGTTATTAAATTGTCAGGTTTTCCTAAGCCCTTTGGTGTAATCATTTTGCTCTGATGTAAATTTCCTGAGAGGAAAATTTGTTCTTTTAAATGTTAAAATCTATACGTTCAATCAAAACCCACTATTCTCACCATTTTTAATATCACCAAGCGGTGTCTTGACATAACAATCATTTCTCCTAGGAAATATCATTACGTTTTCATAATATTTTTCTCTTTGAATCATTTTTGGACACAGGGTCAATATATGGTTTATAGTTTTAGAGTAGTGTTTTCATAAACAGTTCTTTGTTGTTGTGTTGTGGGTTGTTGTGATGCTGGGCTGATAACTACAAAGTCAGTGGTTCAAACCCATCTGGTGTTCTAAGGGAGAAAGATGAGGCTGTCTGCACGTATAAAGATTATTAGTCTAGAGAACCCTATAAAAGCTCAATATTGACCTAACAGTAGTTGGTTTAACTTTTAATTTTTGATTTGATTTTTGTGTTATGACACATAGGATTTTGAGCTCTATGTCTAATGAATTTAATATGGAAAGTTACAAGAGTGGGTCCCAAAGTATTAATACTATGGTTCAAATCAAAATAGTGACTTCAGAGGATATCTGCTAAACTAGTTAGAGTCAAGGTAGAAGTTTGTGGTGATTTTTAAAATTTGTTTTGCCTTTTTTATTGGGTGGGGTGGCCCCAAACAGATAATCCTGAAGATTTTTTTCTTTTGAAAAAACAGGATGCTCATAGGATATGATTATTGAGAAATTTTACTAATCCCCGCCCCCCATAACAATGTACCTGCCCATCTTTCTAGAGATGCAAGGGTTATCCTATAAGAATTTCATTGGGAAACCTTACTCTATCTACCCTACAACCTCAATCTTGCCCCTTGTGTTAGGCAGAATTGTCTAGAGAAAGACCACCAGTGGCACTCATATATGTATACCAAGAAGTTTATATCCAGAAGCAATTTTATATCAAGAATGCATCTCCACCTAGCCCAACTCCAGTCCATGGGTCGGAGGCTAGTGGCAGGATGATGAATCAGAAAGGTCAAACAGGAAGGAGGGTGACCACAGGCCTGGAGCTGCAGTCACCTAGATCTAAGGTCTGTGGGAACATGGGAGGGTCCTGAAAGCCCCCAGGGTCAATGCCCCACAAATGACCACCCCTGAAGGCAGACACAGGAACCAAGCAAATAGGAAGGCTAAGGGCAAGAGAGAGAGAGGCTCCCAGTGTCTCTCTAATAAAAAGATCACACACACCCCTCCCCCAAGGAAGCTCCATCAGGATGTGATTAATAAGGATGGACTCCACTTCTGTACTTTTATCTAAGTTGACATAAAATATAATCATCAGACCCTTAAAACTCTAATGTTCCCTAAACTCAAAGAACATCTCAAAGAAATGTGAGATTCCTCAGGTGGCAAATACCTCGGTCCCAGGCTTCACACAGAGTAAGAATTCACGCAGAAGCCTGGTTTGGGATCCAAGTGAGTTTTTATAAAGGAGAGAAATTTCAGGTTTTGCACCGGCAGCCTCAAGGCACTTCACACTCACACGTGGCGTCCTGAGGCTAGAGAAACCATAGCACAGCAGAGGAGTAACTGGAAAAGAGGGTGGGGGGCTCCCAATTCTGGCTTTTTAGGGCCCTCTGCTGGGAGGCATGGGTGATCAACTGTACTGGTTGACCCCAATGGCCGAATTAAGCCCACTTGGCCTAGATTGGAGCCCACCCAGATACTGGCTTCCTGGCTCAAGGGCCTGAATTTGCACATGTCCTCTAGCCTTTTTTGGCTTCCAACTTCCTGTAAGGTGTGTGTG